AGGTTTCTCCTCCTGCCTGATCCTCTGTGTTCCCTGCCAGGCTGGGAGCTGGCGCTGGGGAAAGAAACCCACCTGTTGCCCCTGCCACCACTGTCCGGCTGAACCTGGCTCCATGTGCAGCTCTGCTGGAGTGGGACAGAAGCAGCTCTGGAGCCTGGGTCAACTGGGGACAGCAGCAGGCTGGGGTGGGGGACTGGGTGGGGAGGGGACATACCACTGAGCATGGAGGGAAAGGGACAGGGAAGGGAAGATTCTTATCTGACTGAGGGACCCAGCTGCTGCTCCTGGGGCATGGTCTGCCTGCACGGGGGGAGATTTGGGAGTAGGGGTTTGCAGCCACCCCTGCAACACTGGTCACTGCTCCTGCACCCTTTACATAATGCTGGTGGAGAAAGCCACCTTCCAGCAGTAGGATTCCTTGACGGTTCTGGCAGCCCTGTGTGCGTTTCATTGATTAGGATTTTCTTCCTTTCTTTTGTATAAAGAGCCCTGGGCCCTGAGCGCCCAAACAGCAAGGAGGAAAGAGCTACAAAGCACTGCAGGGGGAGGCAACCCTAGGAAATCTATGGGAGGCCTCAGCCCACAAGTATCCAAATGTTTTACCTGTCAAGCATTGCAAGGGGGTGGAGATTTCTTTTTCATGTCATGCATCTTGGAGGAAATATTTTTTTTTTTCTTCATTTAAAATTGGCTACGTCTTGGGAGAGGAATGAGAGAATTTGTGCATCAATCTCTCTCAGAATCCCCTAATAATAAAAAAGACTGCTTAAAATGACTGGGAAATTTATTATCATAGGAATTTATTCTCAGAGTAAATTCCCTAAATCATTTGAATTAAAAGGTGCATTTGCTGGGCAATGGCAAATGCAGCTCTGTCAATGATGAGAGCCAGCAAGCTGTTTAAACATAATGGATTTCAAAAGTCCATTATAAATAGATCTGTTTTATTACTGTCATCCAGCTAAGAGAAAGTGCCTTTGTAATTTCTCTAGAGATGTCATACTTTATAGTATAATTGAGTGTAACTATGCTGCTTGTCCCCTGAGACTGATATTATTTGTAAGTCTACAGCTGTGTTACATCCAGCCTCGTGATAGAGGGAGGATAAACCAGAAAATAATTTTTACTCTGTGGACCTTTGCTTCAGGTTGTCCCAGATTGCTCTTTGCTAGCAGGGAGCAGACAGATTTGCTTCCCTGTGGTGTTTTGTTCTTTGTAGCTGTTTCACTTTGGAGTTGCAAGACTTCTCTGCTGTACTGTTAGAGAGATAATGTGATGTATCTTGACCCTGGGACTCAACAAAGGAACACACTGAATTCCTCGATCCCAGTTGCATTAGACTGAGCGCATTGCTGCTTTTGCTAAAGAGGACTATCAGGCGTCACTGATTAAACCATTGTGGCACCTATGAGCCTTGTTCCATTTGTAAAGTGGATTTTAAAGACAGTAGGGATTCCACTACAGCGTGTGTTTCCACGAGTACCTTGTCCTGTATTGTTATGTGGAGGGAGAGCAGATTGAAGTGGAGAGCAAAAATGATTGAAAAAATGGGATCAATTTATGTGGCAAAAATGGCCATTTAATTGGATTTCATAGCATGGTTGGGCTTTTCCACTGATAAAGATGTCACTGGGGTGCATTACAGTATTGTTCCACCATATGTGCACCAGTACAGGATTATGGGAAGCACAGTCCTTAAACATGTGCACGGCTGCTTGTGGAAAAGGCACCCGAAATACTGCCTCAATAAAACGCCAAGCAAAACTCATCATGTTTGAAGCTTTTTCACAGCATGCAGAGAAGAGATCCCTAGGCACATCTAATCAGAGGTTCTGTTTCTATCATGCATTTTATTAACCCCATGTTTTATTGCTCAGCCTATACATTGATGTAGAATCAATTTTATTTTTTCATATCTGGGAATGCTGCTAAAATCATAGCTGTTTTCCGTGACACTTATAGCCACCTTCGTTACCAAATAAAACGTTAAAAAGCTTTCTATTTGCAGCATTCGTGGGATAATGCATAAGCAATTTCAGACCCGGTGCCTCTGAATCTGGCAACCACTACAATAAAACACCAAGTTACTCTGTATTTTATTAACTGTCTTTTCTCTTCAGTTTGCTTAATAGTGAGTTAGATTTACATTTTGTTAAGATTGCTGTGCATTACTTTTAATAGCAGACATGTCAAACTTCCCTGTGCCAGTAGTGTAGCATGATAAAGTAACCCTATGTGATACTGATGAAGATTTCGTTCACACTTGCTGGTTTCATGCCCTGTCTTTTTTTCCAGATGGATACCCTATTGTAAAATGATTTCCTGCTTTAGGCTCTGCTTTGTGTAGCTCTGTGCTATGCCATCTTTCTATGAACTGGATAAACTGCCTATTAAATTTAATTACAGCCTGAATGACTGCACATCTTGATCTTATTTTTCCCCCAATGTACTGTATTTCACCAAGGTCCTTGAGGATGAAATAAAATAAATCTGAGGGATGCATACTCAGTAACTGAAAGAAATGTTTCAAAGGGCATTACGATGACTGTTAACCCATTACTTTTGGGCCATCTTGAAGGCAATCCTTTAGTTTTAGGGTTATATAGACATTTCCTCTTGTCTTCTCTCCTGTCATTAAAAAAAAATAAAGCTGATTTTAAGAACTCCTCAGGATAGAGTTATAAATAGAAACACCACTCCATCATTTCTACCTCTCTGAAAGGAGAACAAAAGGCACAGATGATGATTAAAGCTACACACTTATGTTATAGGCTTCAGTCTCTCCTCCATCACAGAGGGGAGGATTGTAGGACAGACTGGGATCAGGGGAGTCAGTTGTGGCCTGTAGGGCTTGTCCCAGTGCAAGTGAGGGATACATGAGGGTGGCAGAAGGGCACTCCCACCAGTGGAGGGTCCTATGTAGCAGAGCAGTTAAGGAGATAAGATAAGAGTGCCCACCATAACTTCCCCTTCATCCCCTGCCTCTCCATTGCTCCAAACATCCCTACCACGAATCTTCTTTCATCTTACAGCAGAGGTTGAAAGGCAGTCATACTCAATCTTTCTGGCATGCAGGCTGGATGACTGGGGCACAGCCGGACTGTGGCTGCATCTAGTGTGCGGGGCCAGGTCTGACTGTTCCCAGAGCTGCAGCAATTAACACTGCCACCGGTCCCCCACCACCAAATTTCTGGGCCTACAGGGAACCCCACGGGCCAGATCACTTGGCTCCATGAGCAATGGAAGAAACAACTACCTCTGTGAGGTTTTTGTCAGTTAACTTGTAATTCTTCCCTAGCTGCTTGAAGATCATTTTGCACCAAATATTCAGAACAAAGTGGTCTTAGCCAGCTGGAGAGTCCAGTCCTATATCAGGTAGGAGACTGAATGGTTGAGGGAAATTAATAATGGAATACAGGCTATTTCAAATATAACTGATGTAACATGAACCCAGGGGGAATAACCAAAGGCAGTTGTTTTGTGATGGTGCTGGCAATCTCCAACCATTTTCTAAGAAAGAGGTGCCTATCACTGATAGCAAAAGTGGAGTGGGAGTGTTGTCAGAGAGAGAAAAAAATCCTAGTGACTTCACAATAGTGAACTAACTTTGTCCACATAAGAAATTATCTGAGCAAGTTTAAGGCCTTGTTGGAAGGTATTTTGCATCAGTTAGTTTCCCTCTGTCTGCTAGGGGCAGGACTTTAGTTTCTCAATGGTGTCAGCCTTGGCACGTTTCATAAGTGACAGCTTTTTACATTTTGAAGAGTCATGTTTGTCTTGTACTGAAATAGGTTTCTCACTGTGGCAGAGAAGATGAATCAGCTGAAGGGGGACAGTACAGAAACCCACTGAGGATGAGGAACTTCTGTGGGGAGTATAGAAAGTAACTTGGAAAAAATTTGAGACATTTAAAAGATTGCTGAATAAAATACAAAGCAGTTGAGAACAGGATTATGTGGCCGCAGGGTAAATTAATAGCTTGTTAGATCAGTTGGTTATCTCTAAAGTCTTATTCATTTTTATGCATTTTTGAGTGTTCTTAAAATACATGATCCGGCACCTTCCGCATCTGATCCAGCTGCAAGTCCCTATGGATAGAAAAGTCCTTCTTTCCAGAACAGAGTGCCTTAGTAGATAAAGCTCACTTCCAGATCCTGGAAATTGGCCAGTTCTCAGATGACGTCCACGTTAGCGTTAACTCACGTTTTTTAAGGGTAAAGTGACACTCTTCTCTATTTAAAATCCTGAAATCACATGTCCACACTGAAGGGATAAATGTCCTACTATATATGACCTGCAAAGAGAGAGATTAGTCTGAATCCTGTGTTTGTGGCTGTAGAAGTACACAATCAGTGAAGGGATATTTCCTTTTAGAGTATTTTCTAACAAATTCTGAACTTCATACTCTTAAATGAAGATATGGCTTTAAACATTGCACAGTGCTTCCCACAGTGAGGGAGAGTTGTAGTGTTCTGTAAAGAAATGCTTTTCTCTAATTCATGAGGGACTTTCTCTTGAGAAAATGAAAACCTTTGCAGAGAGACAGAGAAGATAAATTAAGTAGAACTAATTTGCTAAGACCCTAAGTATGTGAAACTATGTTCCAAATATTTGGCTGCTTTTTCCAGATGAGGAACCAATATTCATGTTCCGCTGTTCATTTTATTTTCTGGGGTGCAACTGCAGATTGTCTCTCTCTCTCAATGCACTTATTATACAATGGCAGGGAAGAATGATAGCATTGGCATTTGGAAATGTTTAAGTTCATTTGTATTCTGTATACAGATGGCCTCTGTAATCATAAGTAACATAGAACTATCCAAGGAATTTTTAACAGACTAATCCAAATTTAAAAACAGCAGCATCCCAACAGCAAACTTTGCAGAAAATGCCTGGAATGTTAATAGAAAGCACTTCAAGCAAGAATAGTGTTTGTGGTGTTGTGTTTAACTTTACTCAAGAGATGACTATTGATTAATGATGCCCTCCCGTCTCTCCAGAACTCTAGCGCAGAACATCGGGTTCGACTGGACCTTGGGCTTTGGGACAAATTCAGTGAACTGGCTACAAAGTGCATTATTAAAATAGTGGAATTTGCAAAACGACTGCCTGGCTTTACAAGCTTGACCATTGCAGACCAAATAACTCTCCTTAAAGCAGCCTGCCTGGACATATTGGTATGTATCTTTCCTTTATAATTTGCTGTTGCTTTCAGAGATGTATTTTATGCTGCACTAAGTCAGATTCTCTGCCCAGTTGTCCTGCTACAAGTGAACCTGATGGAATAGTCTGGCAGAACTGAGAGTAGACTTTTAACCCACCCCGTGAGGGAATGCAGTAATGTGGGAGAAGGACAAGGAAATGAAAGCCTGCCTCTTTCAGAGTACGGGCTCTGTTCTGGGTTCTGTTGATTTGAGTGCGGCTGCATGAGGGGCAGAACTTCAGCTAGTGTATCTGTGGGATAGTGAGAATGATTGATTTCTTTCCCCATGTCACTGTTTTGTATGTGGGATCTGATTTTCAAAACTACAGCTGCAGCTCTGTGTTGGAAGACGGTTCAGTTCCCTGAGAGCGGCCCGTGCCTCTCAAGCCCCAGATGTAATGAAGAGGGCAAAATGATAAATCTTCAGACCTAGATTTTCCCATGTTGCGTTGACGGAATCAGCTGAACCGAGGTGGAGGTTAGGTATTGAGGCCCCCTTGCCTTTTGGTAGGGCTGAAGTTCACAGTGGTGAAATACTATTGAATTAACATAATGCACATTGTTTGCAAAAATGCTGAGCTTAGTTGAAATATGGAATCGGAGGGAGCGTGTTCTGCGGCAGAGAATGGGGTAGGAGAACTTCAGAGTGTTATTCCTGATGAACACAGTGAACTCTGGTAGTTTAGGCAAGTTACTTCATCTCCCAACGTCTTAATTGTTGCCACCTGGGGATAAAAACACTGACCCATTTTTCATCCAGAGAGTGCCATAACAGTTGCTTGTTTGGAAAGTGCTACGCGATCCTCAGTGCAAAGGGGCCTTTGAAATGTCAGTGACCCGCTTGTTATTAAACACAGTTACAGTAAAACTGAATGGAAAGCACAAAGTGTGCTTGGAAAACCCCCCAACCCCCTTCCCTGATTTCCCGCTGTGTTCCTTCTGGAAACCTGGAGTGAACACAGCTCCGTCCTCAGCCAGAGAAGCCCCCTGTTGGATGGCTACTGGATGTATTTGGCTTGGCATCAGCCAGCAGTTTATTCTAGAGAATTTGCAGTTACAGTAATTAATCACAGGAATCTCTGCACATGCACCACTTCAAACAAAATCATATTGAGGCGAATATTAACTGCACTGACCTTTTCTTCTTGTTTTGTCAAAAGCTGTTTTGAAAGATCTCTTATGGGTGACATTGATATATAGGAGAAACAGAGACAGAGGGGGAGAGAGATTATTCTCTGGCCCATAAAAAAGGAAACGTGGAGGTTGCCCTGTAGTTCCCAAGATTCACCTCTCGTTGTCCCCTTGCTTACAGGCTTTCATTCATACTGGAGTGTCTCATTATTATTGTGTGTGGTCTTTCCACAAGACATCGCCATTTATTACCAATTGCATGCCTGTCATTGTTAACACTGTTATGATAAGACAAAGTTAAGTTCCTCTTACACCAGGAGGCATACAGTAATTTATAAAGTATGACATTGTCTCAAGCATATTCTGCCAGAGATAAGGGAAGAGAATTGATTTACAGCTGTGAGCTCTAAGTAACAAACAGTTAATAGATTGCCGCAAAAGAAGGTACAGAGAGAGTTTCTGTAACTTAACTATACACCCCACAACCAGAGCTTTTCAGAAACCTCTCATTTTCTAGGAATCCTCAGTAGCCGTCAGACAAAATGGTTTTGTAATTCTGAGTGTTTAAGATAAAAATGTAACCCTTCCTCGCCACTGAGGAGCAGAGGCTTGTACCTCTATGTCATATGGGTTCCTAATGGCTTGGCTAGTTGCACATGTTCTGTAAGTTAACAGCCTACCAAACTTTAAAGAAAGTCTTAGGGTCTAAAAGTCTTAGAACCCCAACTAAATAAGGAATTCTAGCCCTTATTTTATCTTATGCTTTCATATGACCCCTGCCTTGAATCAGATGGCTGGGTAAAATATTCCTGGCTAGACAGTACAAAGTCATACGTGTTTTTAACTTGGAAATAGTGAAATAAATTACTTTAACTATGTAAGTACATAGAAAGATCCAGCACTTGAAGCAGTGATGTACCACACAAGGAAGCTTTCCATTCACAAGCTTCAGGACATATGGAGCCTTCAGGCCATGCTTGGAAAGGTTATCTTGAACCATGTCCTTTGGAGCAATCTGCTCACCTCTCCTTCCCTCTCTTCTTCACTAAAAGGCAAACTGAGCATGGAGAAGCTGTTACAAGTAGTAGTCCCAGCTGTTTCATGTAACTTTTTTTCCCTGTTTATGTAACTGTTTTTGCACTGTTTCAAAAGAAGGGATAACATTGTTACCAGCCACAGTGTGCACTACATGCAGGCCGTATCTACATGAGCAGCAGACTGCACAGTAGTGTCCCCACACGGTGTTTTTTCTGACACTACTACGCAGTAGCTCGTTACTACTACACAGTCGCATTGTGTCACAGTTTGTGCCCAACACCACTGTACAGTAGTGTCTTGTGTAGATGCGGCCTCAGTGTCTGCGAAATGCCCAACATATTAAACCTGCATACATGTGGAAGTAAAATAGAAATGTGTTGATAATCTATGGTTGTTTTCCTCCTATTTTTAAGGGTTCATTTCAGATGCCTTATTTTCTTTTGCAGTTGCACACAGAATGAATTTTATTAGTAGATGTTTAGGATTGTGAATCCAAAAAGATAACAAAGCCAGTAGGGAAATACAAATCGCCAGAGTGAGAGACTAACATTAGAGGGATGGGGGCGAGGAGGGGAACACAACTAGGTTACAGAAAATACAATGTTAGCCAACTAAGCCCAGGGGTGGGGGGAAGGGGGAAGGAGAGGGAAGGGGTTCGCCTGCATGGTCCGCAGTGGTGGAGGAAGTAGGTCAAAGAAAGTGTCTCAGTCCATATAGAGTCTCATCGCACGGGTCCTCTTCAGGTGGAGCAGGGTGGTCCATTGCTGAAGAATCTTCTCGAAGTGAAGTCCATCTGGTGCAGAGCAGGGTTCAGGTGATCCCCTCTGGGTCCAGTCTGGTGGTGATCCGTCTGATGGGGTCAGAGTACTGGTGGTGGCCTGTGATGCGCTCCATGTAGATGTCGTGGGACCAGCAGATGGTGTTGGACACCATGAGGCAGCGCATCAGCTTGGTGTAGCGGCGGGAGATGCAGCAGGTACGCAGGATACTCTCGTTACTGGGGTCCCAAGCTCTGAGCGTTCCCACGATGAGTGCATCGACCGTCACGTCATAGCTGCAGCCCCTCAGGATGTCGGCCAGTGGGGCATACTTCGTCCCCCTTGCGAGCCCAGGCATTGGTGAAGGCTTGGTGCCGGTTCTCGAAGGGGATGGTCACATCCATGGTCACGGCCTTCTTGGCCTTTTCGTTGGTGATCACGATGTCAGGTTGCATCTGGCTCTCACAACCCGGGACGATGCAGTTCATGGAGATCTCCCCCACTGTGGCTGGGATGGCCCTCACCAGGCGGTCCTGGACAGCGTTGTCTGCAGCTGCACAGCACGTGAGGGAGGGTCTCTACCGCATACTGCACCGTTGGCACGTCTTGTCCCGGTGGCTGAAGCAGATAGCCCCGTTCAGAGGTAGGCAGTTGTGGCGGGTGCAGTGGACGAAGCACTGGTCCGTGAAGCATGTAAAGCTCCCACTGGGCATGAAGTGGTTGCTGGAGTCCCACTTCAAGGTGACATCAAAGACCTTACCTTGGTCGGGTTTGGCCCTCAGGTCGCTGGCGTACTTGTTTTGGACGGTGTCCTTCAGGAACCAGGAAGGTCCTCATGCAGGGCATCACGGTGACACAGTTGGCGTGCGGGGCTGGTTGCAGGGAGACTTCCAGCTCCTGGCGCTCCTTGGTCCAGGTCCAGGCACAGCCAATGTGCTTCCCGAGGCAGTGCATGGCGTTGCGGGCTTGGCTCCACACTACTGTGGGTCGTATCCCCTTTCAAAGCAACCTGCACTAAGCTCTCTGGTTCTTCCGTTCTTCCAAGTAGCAGGGTATGATGGGACCAGTCCTGCCCAAATGGTGCAGAGGGGAAAGCAGAGAGACAGAGCCTGCTTTGTGGAGTGTGGAGTCGAGCGGGCTTGGCTCGGCTCTACTACTGTATACACACAACCTGTGCAAATGGCCAGACTATGCATACACCACACCACATGATCCGTAATAATAGGCATATTGGGTTTGCTGTACACTTGTGCGTATACACTGCGTTTATACAAGCTCCTCTGCAGCACTCGGAAGGCAGACAGCCTGCTGCGTGTGCTATATGCACATCACATGCAAATATATGTGCTGTATGCCTATTGAGCACGTTTGCTACCTGTGCATTGCACCACGTTGTTCCCATACATACTGCTCATTCACTCCAGGCACTGTCACCCCTGTTTATTTTGTTGTTTCCTTTTCATATTAAAAATGGCTGTAGTTATTGTGGAGGGAGGAAGGAGGAGGAGCTGCGTTGCTCGTCTGAGGGAGCAGTGTAGTGCATGCAGAGGGCAGCTCAAGGGCATGCCTGACGTGTCAGTTCCTTTCTCTGCCTCTACTTTTGTTCCTGCTCTGGGAATGCAGCAAACGGCATCTGCTGTTACTTGTCTAATACAGACATGGAGTGGGATCACATTTTTTCGCAGCTGGCGTTTACCTTCATTTTAGTAAGGAAAACTTGAGCTTTGAAAGAAAACTAACCTAGTCACCAAACAAGCAAAGGCTGCTTAAACCCAGGCTGTTTTGCATGAACCATTTCAGGTTCCATAAATCTGCTGACAAAACTCTGGTCCACAGGAAAGTGTCCTGCTAGGTGTACTCCTGGGTTTCTGCTGGAAGCGTCCCCACTCTGGGAGTGATCGGCTAGTTTTTTCTCCTCTCTGCACTGGCAGCTGGACTGACTCGGGATCATCCCCTTTCAAAACAACCTGCCCTAAGCTCTCTGGTTCTTCCTTTCTTCCAAGTAGCAGGGTATGATGAGACCAGTCTTGCCCAAATGGTGCAGAGAGGAAAGCAGAGAGACAGAGCCTGCTTTGTGGCACTTATTGAGTGACCAACCAGACAGAGATGATTAGAAGGGATGGGCTGTGCTGTCATGCTGCTGTCTTCCTTTGTATGGGTTGGGACTCTCAGACAGCCTAGCCTAGGACGTTCTTCCTTTCCAGTCTCCTGCCACTACCCCACTTCTGCCATTTTGGGGTATGGCAGAGAAAAGGGGTTCCCCAATCCATTGTGGATGCTACTTCTGTCTTGAGTGGACCAAGAAGGACAGGAGCTCCAGCATTGCTCTGATTTTCTTCTTTGCTGCATCCATTCAAGGTCCTCCTACCTCCAAGGACCTCCTCCCACTTCTTGAGCACCACCTTACAGCCTGGTTGTAGTCGTAGCAGAGAGGGTCCAAATACTTTTAGATGAAAATAGTCTTAGTAGATTGCGTTAAGTCCAGTTCTGCTAACATGATTACACCCTGGGATCCTTCAGACTGTGTGTGTTGTGTCTGTAATTTAGCTACCACACGCCAGGTGGACTACGGTGAGGAACTTCATAAACTCCATTAGGTAGGGTGAGGAATTATTATTTACTGCAGTCTCTCTTTTCCAAACACTAGGCTTTACAAGAATTAAAGGCACCAGTTCTCATTGAGGTTGGTGTAAATAGTGCCAAACCAAAACCAATAATTTTAAGCATAAAATGTTACTAAAATAAATCTTTGTAGAAGTGACTGGGCCTGATTTTTATCATTTCTGTCTGAATGGTTCAACTGCTCATCCATAAACAAACAGGGTCACGCACACACAAATCCAGGCAAATTGGTTTAATTTTGGCAGAGTTCGTGGAGGGAAGTTTGGTTGGTTAGTCAGCTCTTTTGCTCACAAATTTAACAGTGGTGAGACTACGGCTATTCCGTAGTTCTGTCTATTGTTGTCCATGGGTGTGAAGCAATGCTAACTCCATTTTCATTTCTATGGTACAAGGAGTAATAATTTCTCAGCGCTGATCCCCAAAATCATCATTCTTCTTTTTGGGGTTGTCAAACCCCATGCAGTAACCATAGAAAGGCATGTGCAAAATAATAAATACAAACCAGCAGTTGGGTGAACATGCATTTTTAGGAAAAGCACCTGCTGTGGCTTCTGTTTTCGGGAAACTTGCACTACTAAACTAGTTGAACAGTGGGAACTATTTCTGAAAGTTGAGGCTGCCTTTAAACCTCTGTTTGAAAGTGGAAACAATTTTACTGCAGCGATATGTTGTAAATGGAGCTTTCTGGATGTTTTTTCCTTTTGTGTAGCACATATTTTCTGCTATCTGTAATTGTCTCATGAGGCTTCCAGATATTTGAAGATAAAAAATATTCTTTAAAACAAAGGATGCTTTAATCATGGATAAAACCCTTATTTTTGCCTGCTGGTGGCATTTTACTGCAGTGTGACAACTAAAATACTTGGCTGTCTTCCAAAATCTAAACAATATTAAAGATGTGAAGAGGATGTTTTCTAGACAGTGGTTCAGCTCAAAATAAGAAATCTGTATCTTTCTCCGTTTAAAAGGACTGACATTCCCCATATGTTCTGCAGTGAACATGAAGTTGATATGGACTTCACTGGGGCACTGGGAGTTAGCCTGAAAAAGAGCTTAGCAATGATTAATTAATGTGCAATGTTTTACATGTCTGTGTGAAGGACACAAGCAGCATACTGTTAAAAAAGTGTTTGAAATGGCCTGTCTCCTAGCTCAGTAGCAAGCTATTGTGGGATTACATAGGGGAATTTGGAAGACACAGAAGAACTGGTTGCTCCATCAGATTCCAGCGTATTGCAGAAGAGAGAAAGCCAAGCTTCAGGGGTCGTAGAGCAGGCTGATGGCATTGGGCTCCCTACAAAATACAGTGGCAGCCCCTGCTTTCCTTGTAAGCACCAAGGAAGAGGGAAGGACAGCCCTGGGGAAACCGGTGGATGCTATTTCTGCAGGTCATTTTATAATCTTTTTTAAAATGTCATTTCAAGATGATTTAAGAAAAGGAATCCTTTAATGTTGCCAGGTTCCTTGCAGCACATGGTATAAGTTTGGCAAAGCTTGTTTTATTCTTGGATTTTATCTATAGACAATATAATGTTGTAGTCTGTTAATGTCTGCTCCTAACTCTGAAATATAGAATGGAGTAAATTCACAGTTAACAATATCTTAACAATGCTGATAGATTAGCAGATGCATAAGCGGGGTGGCCTATGGCCAGAGGAGTGCTTGGAGTGGCATGAATGAATCAGACTTACTTCTGTTCTTCCACATAGTTGTATTTACTTCCCCTCTCTTGGTCATTAAATAAAACGGAAAGTTAAGATTACGTTTTAATGCAAAGAAAAATTTCTTTGACCCATTTAAGTCTTTGTACTTGGACATATTAACCCCATGCATGGGATGAGACCATTATTAACCTGGAATATAGAGGGAAGGGCCTTATGTGGAAAGACAGTGGCATAAGTCTTTTAGTAGGTGATTTAAAAACAGAGGGCAATTTCTCTGTAGGCCCCTTAAATGTCATTTCCTCCTGAGTCTCCTCCTCACTCATTTGGAACCTTGTTGCCAGGTTGGGATGAAAGTAAAAGTACCAGCCGCAGATTGGTCAGCTGCCAAGTATGTGAGAGCCTCTGAGTAAGAGCCTCTGTAGCTATAGAAATAATTAAGACTCTCTCTGTGCTGAGTTATATTTGTGTAAATCTTTTCTGTTGAGGCTTTAAAACAAAGCAAGCTGGCTGTACAGGAAATAAACAGCGTCAAGCCCTAATAAGGTAGCATTATGAAGACAGTATATGGCTGATCTTAGCCAACTAAACAACTGCCTTTGTCTGATTTATTTTCAGTTTTAAAGGGGGTGGGATTGTGAAATTGTCGAAAATATGTTTCAGGACATGTCACCTGAATAATAATGGGCAGCACCACTTTTACACTGAACCGTACAACCTTGTTCAGTAGCAGCTCAGCAACCGCATAGCCGTATGCACGGCTGAAGGAATCTCTGTATAGGTGGTTTTGTCTTGCAAAGTATGAGCTCTGTCTCATGAAATACCTGGCACCCACACCTCAACTGTGAGTACAGTGTAATACCGGTGCATTCCCCTGGCAGCATTTACTAGTCAAATGCAGAGCATTCCAGATGTTTTACAGATGCATTCATTTTTTTTCCCCCATGTCTTCATTTTTAAAGACATGAAGCCCCATCCTCCAGCAGACTGGTCTACTTTCCAAGGGTCAGTCATGGTTGGCTTTAGTCATCACTGAAACCATACTGCCTCATTTTTTAAAGAACAATACTACCAAGAGCAGGAAAATGCCCCTCTTCACCAACCAATCAGGATTGCTAGCATTCTGATTGTTACACAGGGCAAAGTAAGAAAACTTGCAAACCTTGATGAGTTCTGGATGGTGATTGGCTGGTGAGGAGGTTATGACACTCAGATATCATAAGGGAAGAAAAAGTTGGGCCAGTGCTACAGACTGTTGGCAGTGCTGCATGCTGCCATGTGCGGGGATCAAAGTCAGTAACAAGCACAGAGGCAAACTTCTGGCAAAGGAAAAGCACCAAAGTTCAGAGATAGCAAATACAACCAGTTGGGAAGAGACCCATAAATCAACTCCAGAATAGCACCAGCTGAGGTGCTTTCAAAATCAGGAAGAGTCAGGGCAGACTGAAGAGGTTTACACAGGGGGAAGAAGAGGAATGACTTCAGGCACTAAGCGGGTGTCTGATTACATCATGAGAGGAAAATGAGAGGTAGCAATGGGTCCAGATCCTTGCCTCTCTAACCCCAATGGCAAGAATCCTAGTGATGTGAAAGAGAAGCAGGGACAGGTTTGAATTGTTGAATGTATCTGTAGTCAAGCATCATCACATAATTAATTTTAAACTAACAGAATACAAAAACCCCTTGATCAAAAGAGAGCATGTTTTTCATTTAAATGAATTAAACAACTGCCCTAACCCAGGTTGTTTTGTGATGACAGCCCAACATCCCATTGGAAAAGACAGTACTTGTTAGATGTGAAAACTGCTTTTACACTTCACCAGAACTAGCATTTCTGCACTGCATGCCCCCTCACCAGCCACCAGGCCCAACAGTCTCTCAGGAAGAGCAGCAATCTAAGGCAACTAGTCAGGACTGTGACAGTGGATGAAGGCCTCTTCAGCATTTATTGGTGTATTTGGTTGTGATGGAAGTAGTCTGTGTTTATTCTAAAAATAGCAATTGGGCTCTTGCCTTTGTTGTTTTACTTACCCCATCAACCCCATGGCAACCGTCGACATATTGGATCTGCTGGTTCCTGAATAGCCAACTGTGGGCAGGTGGTAAAAGTAGCCCTGCTGCTCTTAAGTCTGCCTGTTCCCCGCAGTTCCACGAGGGTCTGTTACCTTTTCTCCTTTTCCCTCCTTGCCTCCCCAGCTTCCTCCTAAATCCTCAACTCTCAGATGCCCATATGAGACAGGCCAAGAAGAGATGGGTTTTTTTATTCTTCATATTTTGTAGAGATTTTTGAGGAGTAGCACCATTCTTCACAATGGACACAAAAAGACAATAAAAGGCAGAAACCAAAGGTTTGGGTATGGCTTTGCTGGTAGTAGGCCCATGATAGTCTGGCAAGGGCCAAAGCGACAGTGTAAGGGCACTTATATAGGCTGGTATCGGCCACTATTTAAAACATACAGTTGAGACATGCACAAATACTGCATTTCTTAAATAGGAACTAGCCAGAGGGAAAATTTGGAATTTTGACCGTGTATCTGTATTGTTTGTCATAATGAAAGTTACTGATAATGCAAAACACTTAAGCTTATGAAATAAGTATTTTGGAACAAAGGATGTATACTATAGCTTTGTCAGCAGTTTGTTATGTCACAAAAGTTATTACTCTTCTTGACAAACCTTTTATAGACTGAATACTTAAAATGTTGTTCTTTTTCCTCCACAGATCCTTAGAATTTGCACGAGATACACCCCAGAGCAGGACACGATGACATTTTCTGATGGCCTTACCCTAAACCGAACTCAGATGCACAATGCTGGATTTGGTCCACTAACTGACCTTGTGTTCACATTTGCCAATCAGCTCCTGCCTTTGGAAATGGATGACACAGAAACAGGCCTACTTAGTGCCATCTGCTTAATCTGTGGAGGTATTGTACAGCATGAATTTTGACATGTTTTAAAAGAATAAATATTAAGATATCTACTTAATATTCCTACATTGCTTTGCTTCCCCCTGCTGTATTATAGAGGAATTATTAAAACAGTTTTTATTTTGGGCTTGTTTAAATTGGACTAAGTTTTATAGTCCTTCCTCAAGATAACTGCCTCTCAAATCAGTCAGAAGTCTGGGTTTTTGCCAGATAAAAGGACAGAAAGACCTATCCCGCTGGGGTTTTTTTGGTTTTCGTAAAAGTTGTGTGTGGTGGGACGGGTCCAGAAAAGGTTAACCATTTCTTTTGTGCACTGGCTTCTTTAAAACCACTTTTATATCCAGTTGTTGTCTGTGAATAAAAGATACACACATATAAACATTCACACAGAGAGCATGAGAAATATCCTCTTTTACAAAAACTCTAATCATTACTGAATAATTTTATTCTGAAATATGTACAGTACTAAAGACAATATCATTTCTTGGGTGTGGCTTTGACAAGTGGAAAGGGACACTGAGAATTTAAGAACTAGAGAATTTCAAATAGTTTTTGGATTCAATGCCTGCCCCCAAATCCCACTGCCAATTTTTACTGTTTTCTTATCTTTTTTTTTTTTAATTATTTCCTTTCCCCTTTTGCTTTACAAACTCTGACAGAGGCCAGAGAAACTGAATGACTAAATAAAAACTATTAAATGAAACATATATACTAAGTGCCTCAACCGCAGAGAATAAACACACTAACTAGCATTTTTCCTCTGTCTCTTTCAGGTATAATAATTTTAAGTGTTACCTGTAGCAATAGATGGTAAAAGTTTCTGAGACTGAAGTGCAATTGTATAGCATGAATTTGGACAGAATACTTTTAGGTGCAACATGTAGCAACAGACAGTAAAAATTGTTGAGACCGGAGGCATTATTATTAATCTGAGGTGTTAGTGGCACATCTATAATATTCTATGGATGACACCTGCTGTAGTTCAGGCTAGTGCTGCCACCTTCTGATATGTGGAAGAATTTGCTTTTGGACCACGTGAAGAAAACCAAATAGGGCTTTTTTTAACTTAGCCGAGTAACCTTTATTATTATAAAAATAAACATTTAAAATTAATTTTGAAATGCTAATTTAGCATAACACTTCTCCTTTGGGGGGAAAGGGGCAGAAAGCAAGGATGTAGTCATTTGTTTTGTTCTGCATTGCCCAATTTGCAATTTTTCCAAGTGACTGGGCACATCTATATTAGACGCTTACTTACTAAGCACATCACAGCACAAACTGTGCTAATAACCTGCTGCACAGTGTTATTAGGCTAATGCCCAGTAAGCATCACTAAATAACTGTACGCCGGCGCTAATGCATAGTAACTCTAGGTACTGAGCATTTAGTTAGTACTTTAAGTGAGTACTAAGCTAAATGCGCAGTATCTAAGGTGCATTAATGAGCATGTAGATGCACCCACTGAGCAGCAGGGTAAACATTGAAAAACACATCACTTAGAGAGTGTATGAAGGAGCATAACAGGTGAGGTTCCAGGAGTTGCTGTAATGCCCCTAGTGGTCACCTCAACCCTGCCTGGCTCTTGTCATTGCCTCCCAAGATGCCATCCTGATTTCTTACCTGCCATGTCTCGTTGTAAAACCTGATGAAGACAGGCTGCCCAGAGGCTGGTGAGCCTAAGGTGCTCTCTCTTCCTGTCTCCATGCCGGTTCCTTTTGTCCTACTCTCCTTAAGGGCTAAGTTTGTGGCCTCCTTCCACCCCTAAAGCTACACCCATGTTTCATACCTCTGTATACCATTCCATCCCTTGCAGAGGCCTCAGTCCTCCTGGCTTTAGCCTCCATTTCTTCTGGCTGCTGGCCTCCACCCCTGGCCCACCAATTTGGGCCCAGCTCTTGTGGCCTCAGCCTTGCCTGTTCTCTGGGCCTCTGGCCCATGCCGTCCCTTGCTCTGGGGCAAGGCTGCTTGCCACTGAAGCCCTGGCCCCTTCCCCACTGTCTGCCCTGAGGTGCATGTGCAGTCACTGACAGCAATGAATGGGGTTGGAGCTATGGCCCTGGTGCAGCATTTGTAGGCTTACGGCTGCCTGCTGCAAGCAGCCACAAGTCTGCAAGCCACTGCACTGGGGTCTGGAGCCCCAACCCCACTTGTGGCAGGCAGCGGCTGCAGGCATACCTCCAGAAGCATGGCAGGGGAGGGGCCAGGGCATGGAGCACAGGGCATGGGGAGAGGAGCCTGGCCCCTTCCCACTGCAGACTGGGCACTGGCCACATGTGCAGTTTGCACAGGGATAGCACAAACACCTGCTGGACCTAGCCAGGCTGTGATGGGGATAAGTGACATGGTGGAGGTCCATGCTATCCCGTGGCAGCAGCCCAGCTCCAGGGGCAGGGTCTGGGGACTGGCCTGCTGGGGGGAACTGGCTCACTGTGCTAGAGTGTAGGAAGAGGAGCCACCTTGGGACTGCTTAGGGCAGCTGGCCCTGTGACACTGCCCTTGCCCACAAGCACCTTTCCTGGCCCCATGGAAAGGCCTGAGGGCTGCCCTGTCTCATCCCCAGAAGACACAGATTGGGGGCAGTGGGGGTCAGAGCCCTCTTGCATGAGTCAAGAGCACACACACAGCTCCCCATCCTTTGCATCTGGGCCTGGCAGGACAGGGATGGGAACATACCCCACCTTCCCCCCCCCCAAACCCCTGCCCTACATGGGGGTTCCAGGCTTCATGGGTGTGCAGCCCCTGGTGGTGGAGCACGACCATGGCCCCTTCCATGCAGTAGTCCGCAAGGTACTTGTGGGAATGAACTAGGGCAGGACTGCAGACCCCATTGCAGCCGCTTCCAGGCTTGTGGCTGCCTGCTGACATCTGGCCCAGGCTCTGGTCAACTGGCGCCTGGTACAGAGCCCAGGCTGCTTACAGCAGGGCTTGTAGTGTCCCTGTCGCCTGCTGCAAGCAGCCCAGGCTCCATGGCTGGTGGCAGCTGCCCAGAGCCTGAGCCAGATATAGCGTGCTGAGCAAAATGGCTTTGTGTGCCATGCTTTGTTACATGTGTCCAGGTTGCCAACCCCTGTGCTAATTCATTCGCAAGCATCTCCCTCAGAAGCTCCTCACCCTTCAGCATGCAGAGCCAGACTGTGTGCTGTGGCTCAGGCCCTGGGTTTATATGCTTGGAAGCCATACCCCCTCTTGGTCACCTGCCTTCTCCAGCTGTGCACAGGGTTTTCCCTGTCAATCAAGGTCCAGCCTGTGCTCATGCAGCTGTGGCCCCACAGCCAGCTAAGCCTGCAGTAGCTTCTTAAAGGGGCAAGAGCCTTCTGGCTCCCTGCCACAGTTCCCTCCCCTCCCCTTCCAGACACATTACACAGATGAATGAAGAAAAACAGGGAGGTTCACAGAGTTACGTCACAGCTTTGTTTTTGAGAACACAGAGAAACTTGTTTGACTGGCAGTTTGAGAAAAATGCTACACTTACATCAATGGAAAAATTTTATTTACCTCTGCAGACCGCCAGGACCTTGAAGAACCAGCAAAAGTAGATAAACTACAAGAACCGTTGCTGGAAGCATTGAAAATTTACATCCGAAAGAGACGACCCAACAAGCCTCACATGTTTCCAAAGATCCTAATGAAAATCACAGATCTTCGCAGTATCAGTGCAAAAGGTAAGCTATGTCTTTGATACACTGTCAGGTTCGTAGGAAAGAGGAAATATCTGGTTTGTAGGCTTTGATTACAGCATGTTTAAGAACAACAAACAAACAAACAAACAAACACTTTGCTTTTCTTTGTTGGGAAATCTTGGCTTAATCCTCCTGATGTTTTATGACACTCTTATACATAAGCACTTACATTCTTCATATTCTTCATTTAATATCGTCACACCATTGATACTGAAATCTGGTTTTGTTCCTAGATGGGTTAGAAATGAAACTGACTATCAGTAATTTAAAGAGCAGAAAAACCCTCAACTAATTTTCATTAATCATTTTTTTCTAGTAAAATATGGCCTAATTGTATGTAGTACCACAGATCACTTTCAAGTAGAAATATCTAGTTTTTGGTGCTGTATTAAAAAACACATGCAAAATTCCCAACATCCTGGATCTAAACACTCCTGAAATTTTAGTCCATATAATTCAAACTAACCTGTTTTTTACATCTTTGAAAAACACATCTCAAGTGTCTGAGAGCTAAGCTTTTAATGGGTTGAGCATGCTGATTTAATATATTTTCAAGCAGAAATGAAACAGATACTCTTCTTGCCAGTATTTAATGGTAGCTGAACCCTTCTTCCATCCGTGCCTTTAGTGCTAAGGAGAGGGTGGGCTTCTGTAGCAGGTGCACTTAGGTAGCAGGAGGATCTGCCAGCCGGTTGTAAATATGTATTGTACAATCAGCAGCACATTCCTGCATCCTGAAACATCTTGCTCTGTATGATAGCTCTAGGGGTGAACACGCTGCTTTGGTTTTTACATGGCACCTCTTAAATACATCAGGCTTTGAATGTGTAGACCTGAAATTGATACTCCTGTTTGATATAGCTTTATCAGCAGTTTGATATAGGTGTAACTGCTCTGCCTTTAATGAGTTGCACCAATTATGCAGCAGTATAGAAATAGGTGTACACTCTAAGTTCACAAAGATAAAATGAATTCAGCGAGCTATCCCACTGTACCACTGACCCATGCCTTTTTAATGGTTAAATATTAGTTCTACCTACTTCATAGTCTTTGGCTTCTATTGTTTTCCCGGGTAAAAAGAAAAGCACCTGGGATACATGACTGAAGGTACTTCTCTCTCTCCCCCTCTTTCTCAATTTCTATTTGACATCTCTTAAAACATTTCATAGTCAAAGTAAAAGAAATAAAACTAACACCTTACAATATATTTTTTTTTAATGTTGTAAATTAAAGAAAACATGGACCTATTTTGGTGGGCGTTCATCCTATCAATTAATTCAGAGATGATTGTTAAGGAAGGGATATACCAGAACTGGAGGTGAAAACAAGTGTGTCCTCAAAACTGCTTAAAATAATAAACTAAAGCTTGTGATTTGGCCATAGAGATAAAATAAAGTAATCCAATTATATTTCCACCAACCTAAACCTACAAAAGCAACTCATAGCAATGTAAGGCTATAAAGGTACCACTCAGAACCTCAGAAGCAGGCCGTCTTAATTCCACAATCCCGGTTCCTTGTTATACCCGTTATGTCTCCCTTGGGAATATGGCAGTGTCTTGAGAGTTAAATGAGCATGTTAAGATGGAAAGAAGAACTTGTTCTTAGGCATTACATGTAATTGCATTAATGCTTTGTACCAGAACTAAATCATACTAAAGAACTGGTGGTACCTTTTGGGGTGTTGCTATAAAAGTCATTCATTTGAAGAAATGAATATTAATCATCTTTCCATATTCATTTCATATTTAAAACAAAATAAAGATCATCCACTCATGGATGAACTTTTGAATATTAGTTACTTCCAAAGTAGTCTTTTAGGTGATTCTGTATCAAGATTCATGACTACTGTGCTCACCTCTTTGTCCCTGACTGCTCGTTAGGACACCTTCCTTTATTTACACTCACTTGGAAAGTTGGTCGCTAAAGAAGATGAAGCAGAAAATAGACTTCACAAGATCTGAAAAACGATGACCTTTTAAACAAAGGCCATCAATGTGGGTGACTGTTCTCTCTTCTCAGAAGATGCATTAGATTAATTACATAAATCTAATCTACTCTATGGTGTTGAAAAAGCATCAGGAAATAGGTCCAGAGGTTCTCTCCTTTACCAGGACCATAATTTTTTCTTCTTTCATCTTGTTTGCCATTTTTATGTAGTCGTCCCCCACCCCCCAAACACACACTCTTTTACTGAATAGAAGTTATTCAGTTACCTTTTTGAAATCCAGATTCTTGAAGAGCAAGATCAGGGTGAATGTAGTGGGATATCTTACAGCACTACCTGTTTATCCAAATAGCTGTATGGCCATGAAAGATCAGAAGTTGGTCTTGATGGGTAATGTCTTTTTCAAAAATAGAAACAAATGTTTTTAGTTCTAACACACTGCTGTGTGAGTAAAATTATCTTTCTATGTAGATAATACAAAGATGGCTCTTACCACCTTGTGACTGAATGTTTAGTGTCTGTCTGTCTTTATTAGAAGGCTAAAGTTATGTCCTGCTCTGAACACTGAAAATTAGTTTTGCTGATGACTGATTGCTGCAAGTCAGTGGACATCTGACAGCCTCCCTTGCTAAGAGTAATTTATATTCTGCCATCCACTAGTAGTTTTATTTTGAGGTCCAATATGGAGTGGAAGCTGGGAACAAATGGCTTTAGAGTGTTTGCATTCATTCTTTTCTGAGACACTCTTGGATAAAAAATGGTACTTTTCCTCTTTGAGCATGCTAAGCTTTGAAGTTCTGCATGGTATAGTCTTGCCATATACACCTGTTGGTTAGTGGAGCCAGTTCAGGAAATTTGAGGCTATGCTTTCTTCAGATTCTGAAGTTTACCTACTCTCCCAGAATTTGATGGAGACAAAATTGAATGACCTGAATTAAAGCCAACAGTTCATTGCAAGTTAGGTAGAAGTAAAATTGATTCACAATGCAGCAGGTTCTTTCAAATAAGCTTCTGATCCACCTTGATGATAAATCTCAGCAATCCCACCAGTTTCATTTCTGCACCTGAAAAGTCCTAAGACCAGCAACGATGAAAAATACTGCCTGTGGTTTTGGCTGATCAAGAAAGAATGCCCGAGACCCAATTACTTTAACCGATTCTATTTGAGGCTACCCTTATGAATACTCAGAACAGGAGGTAGTGCAGAACGTGGATGCTGTGAGATCATTTTAAGCGTGCTGCAGGAAACATCCTTATCAATTGTGGCCTTTCCAAGACCTTTGCCACAGAAGAATGCAGCTACTTTTCCATAGTCCAAAAAAATGAGTGGAACCTAAGAGCTGGAATCTTCTGAGGAATGCCTTGAGTTTAAAAAAGTTGACAACCAGTGTACTGGGATAAACAATGATTTTTAAGTGTGTGAAAAATAGGCGATAAGGACTATTACTCTAATTGATTGAGAAACTCCTAAAACAGGCAAAATTACTGCTACAATAATTTTCAAGAGAGGCCTTAACTCTCTTAGGCTTATTTTAAAATCCCAACCAAGGGTGCTGCTCTAAGCCTACCATTTCATGGTATATTAAGATTTTAAGTTGGCATGTTCCTTGTGCTGCGCTTGGTAGTATTTCATACATTCAAAAACATCAGATAGCTTATGGCTGGCTGGTCCTTACACAAAAGTTGAATTAGTGTTGTAGGGTTTATAAAACCCTGGAGTAAACAACCGATACAAGACAAAAATTATAATTAGTAGGTATAAACATCATTAGGAGCAAAGTAGTGAAAATGTTTGAAAATTTCATTTGTAAAAGGTGACTCCAACAAAATATCAGACTGATTATACCTTAGCTTTGAACAAATAAGTTTTTGTGGAAGTCAGAATTAGACTCCTAATTTCTAATTGCTTTTACATGGGCTGACTTAGACCAGTGTAAATTAAACAGCTGAACCACACTTGATTGTTAAAGCAGAATTCTGTCCTTAGTGTTCCACATGAAGGGTCAGCAAAGTTTTCTGGTGGTGGGCCAGAATGACCCACCTCTGACCCAAGGCAGACCAGTGCTAGGACCTGGCTATGCAGCCGTTTCTCTGCTGCCTAGCTGCGGTGCAGTTCAGGTAAAGTCCCCTGCCACCAAAGCCCCAGTCTACAGGCCAGATTTAATGGCTCTGTGGGCCAGATCTGGCCCATATGCCATAGGTGTTGCCCCCTGTTTTGTGGGCTCCTATGTAATCAGTGGATTAAGTAGAGTACAAACCAGAATATTTATTTTCTTTTCCTTGAATTAAATCCAGCTTCTTTGTAAAATTAAAAAATAAGTTCTGAAAAGGTGTTGAAAGTAGTTTTCTGTTCTTTCTATAAAAAATAAATTGCTTCTAGTTGATCCGTTTACCTGTAACTTAAGTTTGGAAAGCACTTAAGACAACAGCAGTAAATTAAGTGAATTGATCTACTGCTTTTGTTAGGGACAAATAATTTTGGCTGCTATTTTTTTATGATAAAAACATTCCTCTTTTGTGTACTATTATTTATGAAAGCTTGTTTATATAATTTTTTATGCAAAAGGTTAGCAGAAGACTCTTATTTCTTAGTATCCAGTTTTAATGCTCTTGTGCATAGTGATGACAATGCCAAGTTAAGAACAAATCATGCAAGCTGTGCTAACCAAAAGGGGCTTCCATCTTTTTGTTTGTTTGTTTTTTAAAGGGGCAGAACGTGTGATTACACTGAAAATGGAAATCCCTGGATCAATGCCTCCTCTCATTCAGGAAATGTTGGAGAACTCTGAGGGACATGAACCACTGACACCAAGCTCAAGTGGAAACACAGCAGAGCACAGTCCTAGCATCTCACCTAGCTCAGTGGATAACAGCAATGTCAGTCAATCTCCAATGGTGCAATAAGACAATTTCCAGCTACTTCAGACATTTCTAATACCTTATGTACAGGGATGAAAAGCAAGAAAAACATTTTTACTGCTGCTTAGTTTCCGGACTTTTATATATATATATATATATATATATATATTAAAAACTCAACAAGGACCAAGAAGTTTTCATATGTATCGATATATACTCCTTGCTGTTTAAACTCTTAACTAGAAAAACACAAACTTTTGAAACTCTAAATCAGCCATCTCATGCAACAAGAAACTAGTTAAGCTTCTGTTTTCTTCTAAACATTCAAGATTGCATGGTGACAAGACAGTTCTCAAACTTTAAATTCTGGTTATGTTTCTGATGACTTTGTACATACAAATATATGGCTCTACTTTCTATACTGGATGTTTGGTGCTTTCCTTTTGTCTTGCATACATAAAATGATCGAGACATCAAGCTTATAAAATGGACTGCTGTACATGTCCAGATAAAGTTTAAAAAGACATTCTGATTTAGTTAGTATGAAAACTTATCATTGAACTTTCTGATGCCCTCAGTTTGCATCTCCTTTCTTGCTAAAAAAAATGTATACAAAAATTCACTGCACTAACAGAAGGGACTTCTGTATCAGTGTAACTGCCAGCTCAGTTATTCAGATGTCATTTGTTCCGCTGTTATGTCACTTTAAATTTCAAGGTTTATTACCTGGTTGACATATCTACACATTTTTAAAAAGCCCTACGCTTTTACAGTAAAGATAGCCTCCAAGGCAGAAACACTTTTCAGTGTTACCACGTTTTTGTTTACTTGTTCACAAGCCATTAGGGAAACTTCATGGGATTACCTGCAGACTCATTCACTACTTCTGAACTGGTGAGTGCAGTGTATTTCCTTAAGAATCCGATACCAGGAGTAGGGTGCCTGGTACCACAACTAGGACTTCCAGAAACACAGGAAGAGAATCTGCCTTTTTGACCTTGTTAAATCACCATGAAGCAGAGTGAAAACTGTGGTAGAATGGTTAACATTAAAAGTGTCAGTTTCTTAGGTTTCATTTAAAGCACTAGTGGATTTTTTTTATATATTCTAGCAAATCTGTGATGTACTTTCACTGGCTCTGTTTGTACATTGAGATTGTTTAACAATGCTTTCTATGTTCATATACTGTTTACCTTTTTTCCATGGAGTCTCCTGGCAAAGAATAAAATATATTTATTTTAAAACTGTGTAGAAAGCAATTGTTCTAATCCAAGTTTTCCAGCACACAAAAGTGATAGATTTTCATTTTTAATGTTTAAACTTCATTTCAAAAAGCAGGTTTGCAGTTTGCAACCATGACAATTAAAATGTGCTTTAGCACAGCTGTCTAGAACATCTCTACAAGCCAGTCAGACAAATACATGACATTTCAATGAGTAAAAAAGAGCATAAAACTGTAGGTGTAAGAACAAAATGTTAAAATGCCTACACACAATAATAAAAACCATCAATTACATCATCACATAAAATAAGTCAAATGTACAAAAGTTTGCGACAGAAGGGACAAAAGGACAACACAAGATATTTGTTGGAAAATGTTTGTGTGCTCTTTGGGCACTTAATTAAACATATCAAAATCATCATCTTCATCAGACTCTGCAAAGTATTTCACCTCTTTCCTAGCCCGACCTGTCCGTGGCTTAGGGGTAGAGTCAGAGGCAAATTCAGACTGGAAGATGTCTGCATCAGAATCCGGATCAAAGGAGGCCTTCTTGGATTTCTTTAAAAGAAATGGAGAATGCCATAACAATTCTGCAGTGCGCTTAAGAACGTTTCTCTAACATCTACATCCCAGACTTGCCTAAATGCCACTTCCCATAGAAACAAACTAGGTTGCATCAACATGCTCCTTTAAGGAAAACGATAAAAAAGCCACAGCCATCCCAAGCAGCCAAATCTGCTCCTCCTTTATGCAGCAGTAATAATCTATTTGAAACTGACCTTGCTTGGTGTCAACTTGGGTGTTTTCTTGCCAGGGGTGTAGTCACCTTCATTTTCTGAACCAGATGCTTTCCTTTTCTTTGCCCCTCTACCTTTCCCTGGTTGAGAGAAAAATGTACTGATTAATTACAATATATGTTGATGTTCAGTGTTAGCACAGCAGTGCTCAGCAGCCCCATGAGCTGGACGAGTGACAGGGGGCTGGTCTGCAGGCCAGATCTGTTTTCAGGGTCAGCACCTGGATTGGCCCCTGCACTGTGCCACCCTGCCCTAGCTCCAGCCATACTCTGCAACACCCATGGGACAACGGTATCCGGCCCGCTAGGCTCCCCGCAAGTCCAGAGATTTGGCATCAGCGAAGCAGCAATTAATGCTACCGCTGATTCCTTGCAGCCAAATTTTCCGACCAGTGGGGAACCTTGCAGGCCAACAGACACAACTCTGCCACAAGTTGAGGGTTGAGCAACCCTGCATTAGTGCATCTATTGCTAAGAGGTTTTTTTAAAGTTTGACTAAAAGGTTAAAACTTACACCACGGTTATATATCTCCCTGTAGAAATTGGATATAAAGCACTAAGATTCTGTTATTCCAGAGTTTCTAAGGTTTTAAATTTTTTGGTTAAGATTCTCAAAAACTATTGCCTCACTCTTGCATTTCATGGTCTCAGGGCATGCACAGCTCAACTAGATAAAAAGCTTCTGGATCTCCGAGGCAATACAAGACCTCACCACTAGTACTAGTTACACACAACCACGATCTATTTCAAGGACTTAGCCTGGTCTGTCATTACTGAAGCACTCTCTTCATCTTGAGGACCAGTGAGTATTCAACTTGATTTTCTGTATTGCATCCACTTATTTTGGGGCCCTCAGTGATGAAGGAGCAGATATACTGCAAAATCCTACTGCAACTATAGTGAAGAATAAAAGCTGGATTTCTTGTTGACCAAAAAACCTTTATACTGATGACACTGTGCTCTGCCCCTCTCTAAAGTGGAAAAAAATGTCCTGTTTCATAAAGCCAAACTTAATACAGGCTTATCGTATTGTCTGTCACTAGAAGCAGTAAACCAAAGATTTTAAATTGTATCACAGAGAAATGTGACTGATGATTTGCTAGTGAAACAACAGCTTTCAGCTCTAATTTTAGGACAGTGCTTTTCTGCTTATTCATAAAAAAGGAACTCAGTACCATATGATGTAGAAGCCAAATTCAAAAACTACAAGCTTTGAAGCCTGAGCTTTTGTGGTGTGTGATTAAATTTGCAATCTGTTGAAATCCTCACCTTTGGGTGCTGTAGTCTTCTTTGGAATGCCAAATTCTGAATCCGAGTCAGAATTTATGATCTCCATCTTCTTCCCCTTGGGAGATCTTTTAGGTTTAGGGGGTCCATCTGAAGATGGCTTTGCTGTTTAAGTTAAGGACAGTAATGCTGACTTTGCATACTACATACATAAGACTTAAATAATTACAGTATTTATTCAAATCAAAACAAGGGTTTTTTTCCCCATGCAACATGTGGTGGGGAGCTCATGGGTCTTGTCTTTAGATTTGAGTACTGGGCCATGATGGAGATGAAGCTGCCATTTCCACTGCTGCTTGGCTGAGGCCAGGCTGGTTTGTCCAGCAGAGAAGCATGGAGGTAGGGGGCAGGAGAGACCATGAACTGCTGAATCTCTAACTCTGGCTCCAACTTTGATTTGGGCCAGAGCTGCTGCTGTTTTCAGGCCCAGATCCACTGTGCGCTCCATACCTTGGGCCAGAGATGGAGCCAGAGCCTCTGCATACAGTAAGCAGCAGCTTTCCCTGCTGCTCATCTCCCTACTGCTTCCTTCTTTGTTGCAGCATTTTGTGGGGAGACAGACAAATTTAAGACAACCCTTGAATAATTAGTTTTGATACATACAAAATTTTAAATAATTTAAAATTTGTTGAGGGGGTGATCTTGGATTCAGGTAATACAATAGGTACTCTAATACAGTTAACAAGTTGTTACAGGAGTAGATTAGAACAGTTTCTATACTAGAGAACTTTATTTTCGGCAGCTATTTCTTTCAGTGATCCTTTTCTATTATTTTAGACATACATGGTAAAAATTATTCTTTAGCATAAAACTCAAATGATTTTGAGATATTTTCCAAACCTTTTCTACTTTTAAGGAAACAAAGTAATATGTAAACCGGTTGCTTTGGTATAGATCTTCTGGAGATTTTTTTTCTGAGAAAGGTATTAATGAGGAAAGCACAGTGCCTTGAAAATCAAGTTAGCTTGGGGAGGCATTCTATGGATAGGGCAGGGTGTCAAAGATATAGTTCTGCCAAATAAAACCCACAAATGTCGCTTGTGGACCCTATGCTTCAACTCAACTGCATGGCCTCACCAGTACTCTGGTCTATTGAGAGTCTGTGGCTGACCTCTCAGTACAGACCTTCTAGAAACTAAAAGAGGGAGGCGCATTTGGGCTCTATATGAGCCTCTTCCATATTCTTACATGACTGGGAGGTCTTGATGCTTGTCCTTTTGATGACCCCCATGCCCATCTTTTCCAGGGATTGCATTCCCAGGTCAGCATAACTGACGACAATGAATCACAGAAAATTAGGGTTGGAAGGGGCCTCAGGAGGTCTAGTCCAAGCCCCTGCTCAGCTATATCATCCCAGTCAAGGCTTTGCCTAGCCAGGTATTAAAAACATCCAAGGATGGAGATTTCATAACCTCTGGGTAACCTGTGCCAGTGCTTTAGTGAGAAACTTTTTCCTAATATCTAACCTAAACTTTCCTTGCTGCAACTTGAGGCCATTGCTCCTTGTTCTGTTATTTGCCACCAGTGAGAAGACTCTAGATCCATCCTCTTTGTTACCACTCTTCAGGTAATTGAAGGCTGCTATTAAATCCCTGCTGCCCAGCCAGTCAGTCCCCAACTTGTACTGGTCTACTGCATTGCTGACCTACGACTTGGTGCCTGGGTTTGAGGACAATTTGAGGAACCTGATTAGCAGGAATACATGTAGTTTCATTCTAAAGTCCTTTCCTGGGCTTGAGCAACCAGCAAATGTTTCATCCTTGAGTCAATATAAATCACAGGAAGTCTGAGGTAGGATTTAGCCTCTCACAGCCAGTGACATAC